ACCCCTTGCCCCCAGATAAAATACTTGAAATACCCCGGGGCAAATATTTACTATTTTACTGAACAAATATCTTTTTCATAACAGTAATTCATAAAAACCATCGTCCTCATCAAAATCATCGTCATCATGATGATCGTCGTTGTTTATACGAAACGCACCATAGATTTGAAATATAAGTCGGTGAAAATGGGTAAAACCTTTGTTAGGGCTGGTGAAAGGAATTTGGTAAATGAAAGTTTGTTTGTTGTCGAATTTCGCGCAAAGCTACACGAGGGATATCTGCGCTAGCCGTCCCTAATTTAGCAGTGTAAGTCTAGAGGGAAGGCAGCTAATCATCACCACCCACCGCCAACTCTCGGGCTACTCTTTTACCAACGAATAGTGGGATTGCCCGTCACGTTATAACGCCCCCACAGCTGAAAGAGCGAGCATGTTTGGTGTGACGGGGATTCGAACCCGCGACCCTCAAGATGGCGAGTCGAGCGCCCTAACCACCTGGCCATGCTGGGCCAAGAAAAATGAAAGAGAAATATTTTGAGAGAAGAAAGATCTGAAGAAATCTTTGGCTACGAGTTTAATCGCTTTCTTTAAATTTTCTTTAATCGCTCTAATTCACATAGATTTGAGCTCACTAAATAATTTTTTTATTATAATGCTTTAAACTTAATAAAAATGACGTCTTATAGAGGTATTTTGAAAGTGACGTATGAGTATTCGATTAGACTTAAATTGTGTAACGTGTTTTTTTTTGCTTTGCTTTTGCTTTGCCTTTTTACTTATGCACAAAGCTACACTAGGGCTATCTGTGCTCTGCCCACCACAGGTATCGAAACCCGGATTCTAGCGTTGTAAGTCCGCAGACATACCGCTGTGCCATTGGGGGCTAGAAGTTTGTTTGTTTGTAATTAACCACAAAGCTACACTAAGGGCTATCTATGCTCTGCCCACCACGGGTATCGAAACCCGGATTCTAGCGTTGTAAGTCCGCAGACATACAGCTGTGCCACT